TTAACTTCTCGTACACGAAGACTCTCCAAAAAATCTACAAGATCTTCAACAATCCGTGTGTCGTTCGTTCACTTGTTTTTCAAAATAAAACCAAAAATAAGAAAATGAAAAAACAACTTTTTCCTTCGTTATTTGTCTCCAAAAATAAAATTAAAAAACGGATAACAATTAATTTTTTCAGTTTTTGATTTTGTGTTTAAATTAAAAATGGAACCTGGTCCAGTCCTGGTAGTAGTAGTAATTGTAGTAGTAGTAGTAGTAGTAACAGTAGTAGTAGTAGTAGTAGTAGTAGTAGTAGTAGTAGTAGTAGTAGCAGTAGTAGTAGTAGTAGTAGTAGTAGTAGTAGCAGTAGTAGTAGTAGTAGTAGTAGTAGTAATAGTAGTAGTAGTAGTAGTAGTAGTAGTAGTAGTAATAGTAGTAGTAGCAGCAGTAGTAGTAATACTAGTAGTAGTAACAGGAGTAGTAGTAGTAGTAGGACTAAATGTAGTAGTAGTAGTAGTAGGAGTAATAGTAGTAGTAGTAGTAGTAGTAGCAGTAATACTAGTAGTAGTAACAGGAGTAGTAGTAGTAGTAGTAGTAGGACTAAATGTAGTAGTAGTAGTAGTAGTAGCAGTAATAGTAGTAATAGCAATAGTAGTAGTAATACTAGTAGTAGTAACAGGAGTAGTAGTAGTAGTAGGACTAAATGTAGTAGTAGTAGTAGCAGTAATAGTGGTAATAGTAGTAGTAGTAGTAGTAGTAGTAGCAGTAGTAGCAGTAGTAGTAGTAGTAGTAGTAGTAGTAGTAGTAGTAGTAGTAGTAGTAGTAGTAGTAGTAGTAGTAGCAGTAGTAGTAGTAGTAGTAGTAGTAGTAGTAGTAGTAGTAGTAGTAGTAGTAGTAGTAGTAGTAGTAGTTGTAGTAGTTGTAGTTCCCCCCGTTTACCAGTCCTGGTTCAGTCCTTTTTATAAGCGCTCAGTTTATGTAAATGAGTCATGTGGTTTTAAGTTTTGTTTCTGTAAAATGTAAACAAATGTGTGTGGACAGAGACCGGACACAGAAACGACGAGTGTGGATGCAGAAACGACAAGTGTGGACGCAGAAACGACGAGTGTGGACGCAGAAACGACGAGTGTGGATGCAGAAACGCCGAGTGCGGATGCAGAAATGACGAGTGTGGACACTGAAACGCCGAGTGTGGACGCAGAAATGCCGAGTGTGGACACTGAAACGCCGAGTGTGGACGCAGAAACGACGAGTGTGGATGCAGAAACGACGAGTGTGGATGCAGAAAAGACGAGTGTGGACGCAGAAAAGACGAGTGTGGACGCAGAAACGACGAGTGTGGACGCAGAAACGACGAGTGTGGACGCAGAAACGACGAGTGTGGACGCAGAAACGACAAGTGTGGACGCAGAAACGACGAGTGTGGACGCAGAAACGACGAGTGTGGACGCAGAAACGACGAGTGTGATTTGTTTCAGCGTAAACAAACCTTAATCCAAATCTTTAACATCAGTCACTCCTTTATTACGACAACATGACGAAAGACAAAATGACGTGCGTTACCTGTGAGGGGGAGGGGCTTCGCGTGTCTCCGCCCCCCTGACGACCCGGATGACGCGGAGGAGGCGGGGCTACTGTCTCTCTGCTCCTCTCTGATTGGTCCGAACAGCTCGTCCGGCTTCGGCTGCTCCTCGCCCCCTCCGCCCCTCCCGCCCCTGCCGCCCTGACCTCCCCCCGACCCCTGCGCGACCCCGCCGTGACCCCGGGACTTCTTGGACGTAGCGGCGGCGACGGGGGGGCGGGGGGGTTGGCGGGCGGCGGCTGCATGTTGAGTCTCTTGTCGGCGGGCGCGTCTTGCTCGGCGGAGGCGGCGGCGGGGGGTCGATCCGTCGTCGTTCGCTCGGTGGCGGCGGTGGGAGGAGTCAGGAGGGAGGTGGGAGGAGTCTGTAGGGAAGCGGGCGGGGTTTGTAGAGAGGTGGGCGGGGTCTGCAGGCTGTTGGGCCCGCCCCCTTTGGGCACGCCCACTAAGTGCGTCTGGTTGGACTGGTTGGTGAGCAGGTCCTTCATCTCTTCGTAGGAGCCCAGAGTGTTCTGAACGCGATTCGCCAACGCGTCGCCTTTACTCGTCTGCCAAAAAGAAAGAGAGAAAAGAAGAAGGGATGAGATGAGAGAAAAGAAAGAGACTCGCCAACGCGTCGCCTTTACTCGTCTGCCAAAAGAAAGAGAGAAAAGAAGAAGGGATGAGACGAGAGAAAAGAAAGAAACAGAAGAGAGACAAGAAGAGAGAGAGAGAGAGAGAAGAGAGAGAGAAGAAGAGAGACGAGAAGAGAGAGTCAGAAGAAGAAGAGAGGTAAGAGGAGAGAAGAGAGAAAAGAGATGAGAAGAGAGAAAGAAGAAGAGAGGTGGGAGGAGACAAGAGAGAAAGAAGAAGAGAGAGACAGAAGAAGATGAGAGGAGAGACAGAAAAAGAAAGACAAGAGACGAGAAGAGAGAGAAGAGAGAGAGAATAGACGACAGAGGAGAGACACAGAAGAGATGAGAAGAGAGAGACAGAAGAAGAGAGATAAAAGATGAGAAGAAAGTCGAGAGAGAGAAGAGATTAGAGAGAGACAGAAGAAAGAAGAGAAGAGAGGTGAGAGACAGAAGAAAAGAGAGGAGAGAGACAAGAGAGAGGAGAGGAGAAGAGATGAGAAGAGAAAGACAGAAGAAGAAAGACGAGAGGGAAAACGGAAGAAGAGTGACAAGAGACGAGAAGAGAGAGAACAAGAGACGAGAAGAGAGAGAGACAAGAGACGAGAAGAGAGAGAGACAAGAGACGAGAAGAGAGAGAGACAAAACAAGAGACGAGAAGAGAGAGAGACAAAACAAGAGACGAGAAGAGAGAGAGACAGACGAGAAGAGAGAGAGACAAGAGACGAGAAGAGAGAGAGACAAGAGACGAGAAGAGAGAGAGACCAAAGAGAGAAGAGGAGAGGAGAAGAGACAGAAGGAGAGAGACAGAGGAAGAGAGATAAAAGATGAGAGGAGAGAGAAAGACAGATGAGAGGAAAAGAGAGAGAGACAACATAAACATCAAGTAAATATCTTTAAATTTGGAATTGTTTGTGTTTAATATTTTACGTTTTAATCAACGTGAGCGTCAGAGAAAAAAAGAAAGAGAAAGAAAAATAGAAAAGAGAAAAAGAAAAAGAAAGAAAGAGAAAAAGAAAGAAAGAAAGAGAGATGAGAGGAGGAGTGTAGAGACAAGATCATTACAACAGCACGAACAGGATTAAACCGGATTAACTCCAACAGAGTCAAAGATGAACAGAAAAAAAACAAAAAAACACTCAAAATACAAGAGGAATAAACCAGGACTAAACCAGGACTAAACCAGGTCTAAACCAGGACTAAACCAGGTCTAAACCACTAAACCAGGACTAAACCAGGACTAAACCAGGACTAAACCAGGTAAACCAGACTAAACCAGGACTAAACCAGGACTAAACCAGGAGACTAAAACCAGGACTAAACCAGGACTAAACCAGGACTAAACCAGGACTAAAACCAGGACTAAACCAGGACTAAACCAGGACTAAACCAGGACTAAACCAGGACTAAACCAGGACTAAACCAGGACTAAACCAGGACTAAACCAGGACTAAACCAGACTAAACCAGGACTAAACCAGGACTAAACTAAACAGGACTAAACCAGGACTAAACCAGGACTAAACCAGACTAAACCAGGACTAAACCAGGACTAAACCAACTAAACCAGGACTAAACCAGGACTAAACCAGGACTAAACCAGACTAAACCAGACTAAACCAGGACTAAACCAGGACTAAACCAGGTCTAAACCAGGACTAAACCAGGACTAAAACCAGGACTAAACCAGATAAACCAGGACTAAACCAGACTAAACCAGGATAAACCAGGATAAACAGGACTAAACCAGGACTAAACCAGGACTAAACCAGGTCTAAACCAAGACTAAACCAGGACAAAACCAGGACTAAACCAGGACTAAACCAGGACTAAACCAGGACTAAACCAGCCAGACTAACCAGGTAAACCGACTAACCAGGACTAAACCAGACTAAACCAGGATAAACCAGGATAACCAGGACTAAACCAGGACTAAACAGGACTAAACCAGGACTAAACCAGACTAAACCAGGACTAAACCAGACTAAACCAGGACTACCAACTAAACCAGGACTAAACCACTAAACCAGGACTAAACCAGGACTAAACCAAGACTAAACCAGGACTAAACCAAAAACCAGACTAAACCAGACTAAACCAGGACTAAACCAGACTAACCAGACTAAACCAGACAAACCAGGACTAAACCAGACTAAACAGACTAAACCAGAAAACCAGACTAAACCAGACTAAACCAGGACTAAACCAGGACTATAAAAAGGACTAAACCAGGACTAAACCAGGACTAAACAAACCAGGACTAAACCAGACTAAACCAGGACTAAACCAGAACTAAACAGGACTAAACCAGCTAAACCAGACTAAAAACTAAACCAGACTAAACCAGGACTAAACCAAGAAAACCAGGACTAAACCAGACTAAACCAGAAAACCAGACTAAAACCAGACTAAACCAAACCAGGACTAAATCAAGACTAAACCAGGACTAACCAGGACTAAACCAGGACTAAACCAGGACTAAACTAGGTCTAAATCAGGATTTAGGACGGGTCTAAACCGGAACTAAACCGGGATTGAATGAGAGCAAAATCAGGACTAAACCCAGACTATAAACCAAGACTTAACCAGGGCTAAACCAGGCCTAAAAAAGGTCTAAACCAGGACTAAACCAGGTTTAAACCAGGACTAAAAAAGTTCTAAACCAGAACTATATCAACTCTAAACTAGGTCTAAACTGGGATAAAACTAGAGCAAAACCAGGACTAAACCTGGACTATAAACCCAGACTGGCGGGAGGGCATCTGACTCACTTTGTAGGGTTCTCCAAACAGGTTGAATCCGGTGGAGAACAGGTCGTCGTCCTGCTGA